CCCCCCGGCAGTCTTCCCTTCTCCGGTCACTGGCACTGGAGACTGGAGCTGGGCACTCATGCTTCAGCTCCCATAGGGGGCCTGGGTTAGCTGCCCATCTATATATCCTTCATCTCACCAAGTGGAAATTTTCCTCGTGTGACTCCAACCCCGGACTGTGACCTCCCTGAGGCCCAGGACCCGCGCTGTTTGAACAAAGTGCTTGCCATGAAAAAAATGCACAATGAATGAATGAGAGCCTGGTAATATAGCACAGGTATCAGAAACCACCCAGCTTCCTCGAGTCCCAGCTGTGGGGTCTTGAAAGAAACATGTTGAATCTCCCTAGACCTCAGATTCTCTGTCTATAACAGAGATCCATAAAGCTTCCCCTGGTAAACTGTTGTAAGATTTTCACGTAACACGTGGAGAGTCCTCAGCACTGTGCCAGGTATATAATGAACGCTCAAACATTGGTTGTTGCTACTATGTCCTTTGAGACGGAACCAGAATGTTCTTTAAAGGCCTCAGACCTATTACCAGGCCCCCATGGTGGACTCAGCTGCTCCAGATCTCCTCAGGACTCATGTTTTACCTTTCCAGATGCATTAGCTCCCATTCTTGAATATACTGCTCTGAAAGGTTCTGTTCCCTCGGTACTTCCTTCAAGATTTGCCCCAGATCTTACTGCTCTGGGCCCCTAAACCATGGAGGTCACATGCTACCTCCTGATCATGCAAATGCCACACAGGGGGGCCCGCATAACCCCCCCCCCCCCACACACACACACACACATACGAATTTCCACAGGAAAGCTGTGGAGTTGACAGGTGGTGATCCCAAAATAGAAATCAGGTCTTAAAGGGGGCAGGAGCAACAGGAGGTCTCAGGAAGAGGACGTCCATTGTCGCAGCAGACGTGGAAAGGTGAATCATGGGACCAATGGCCTTGAAAAAAAAATGGCATCGCTCCTCCCTGGAATATTGTGCAGCTATTAAAAATAGCCCGGGGGGGGGGGCCCCCCCCCCAGCCAATAAAATGGCAAATAAGAACGCGTAAGTGAGCTTGTATAAAGAAAGCTCATGGTTTCTAATCACAGTGTGTGAAACTTGCTTTAGAAAAATTTAACGAAGTTGACCAAAATGTCAATTGTTGTAACGGGGTGATGATACTTTGATTCCCCACACCTTTTGCTAGTGCTGCCCTATGCTTTTAAAATGCAACAAGAATTCTTAAAATATACACATCCTGCGCGCCTCCTTCGCAGATGGCTCCTGGAAGAGAGGAGATAGTGCAGATGACACGCCCTAGGCTGAAGGGGGCTCCGAGAGCCTGACTCAGCAGCGTGCGGACCGGGGCGAACCTGGGCCCCGGGACGCCGGGATGCGATCCCGCCCCTGCCTCCTTGCTCACCCACCACCGCCCCGCTGGGGATCTCAGAGCGCAGTGGGGCCAGCCCTCCCCCCCAGCGCCCCGAGCGGGCTGGCCCCGGCCACCCTCCCCGCGAAGTTTCTCCTCGGTAAGAGGGAGGCGCCGCCAGCGGCTGGAAATCTAGCGGC